GAAGCCCACTGCCTCAGACCGTGTATCAAGAATCTAAAGGCCTCTAGATAAAACCACTGTACTACTACTACTACTACTACTACTACTACTACTACTACTACTACTACTACTATTACTACTACTACTACTAACTACTACTACTGCTACTACTACCACCGCTGCTACTCCGCCACCTGCTGCTACTACTACTGCAGCGACGACGACTACGACCACGACTACGACGATGCCTACGTCTACGACTGCGACGTTTACTACGACTGCGACGACGACGACTACTGCTACTACTCCTTTTCTGATGCTGCTGCTGCGGCTGCTCCGGAAGTAGGGGAGGGGGGAGGCCTTTCGGCTCTGGTCCTGTTCGTTTTCGGATTCTTGTCCCTAAAGCGGTTTCTGAGGTGTTATTGGGTCCTTATAGGGACTGATAGCATTTAGGCTGATGGGTTCAGGGTTTAGTCTAAGGCTCCCGGTCGCGTGGTCCCTCCCGAGCAGTTTGATGCCAAGCGCAGCTCCACAAGTTGCACGACCATCGACAGCATTAAACAATGAAGCCCAGCAAGGAAGGAAGCACCTCTCCCTGTTCTAGGTTGTGCGTTTCGGTTTCTAGGGTTGTGGGAGGGATCAGGGTTGAGGGCGAAACCTGAATCCCCAGCCGCTCAGAAGCTCGGGATTCGCGCAGGTGTTGGCGGCCCCAACCACCAGTGCAGGCGCCTTTCTGCGAGCACGTAGGTAGCCTAGGGCCACGTTTCAGGATCAATTACGGGCTTGAGAACATCACCGCCTCAATACAACTTGTTTCGGATTGGGGCATTCCCAGAGAGCCCAATACCCCTTAAATTAAGGAATATACCTTAAATCAACAGTAAGAGAAGAACCATAGCAAGGGCTGAAGCAAGAGAGACAGCAGCAGCACGAGGAAGAGCAGAAGCAAGAGCCAGAGCAGTAGGAAGAGCAAGAGCAAATTCCCCAAAGAAGTTATATCACCTTATTTTTCGAAGCACTTTTCGAGTTTCTGGGGGGGTAGGCCCCCGGTTTAAAACTAGGGTGTGGGCATGAAACTCCTGCAAAGAACCTTGCTTTGGAACACTCGCCAAATTGAATACGCTGTAACGCACAAGCCCGTCAACCACGAGCCCCTATACCCGAAACCCTAAACCTTGGACCGCAAGCTCCAAAGCAGCAAAGCCCAAGAACCCCAGTCCTTTCTGTGGCCTTCAGGGCGAATTTCCTTAACCTTTCCACGACAGCCCAACCTCAAACGGTTCGGGGTTTATAGTTCCGGGCTTAGGGTGTAGGGGTAAACAGCAACTGGAAGTTGCTGGCTTAGAGAGTGCGAGAGAGTCTGGCCTATGGCCGCGCAGACTAAACGCGCGCAAGCGTGGAGAGAGAGACGGAGAGAGAGAGATACTTGGAGGATCATGGGACTTAGAAAGTAAGGTTATAAGCACCCTAATTGGGGCTATAATTTTAGTTACCTTATTTATAACCCCTAAACCCTAAACCCTAAAAACCCTAGTTACTAGGTCCCATGATCCTCCAAGTGGACCTGAGCCTCCAACCTCTGGCAGGCCCAGTCTCCCACTCATCAACTTCAAGCCCCCCGACCTCCCCTTACTTGGAGGATCATGGGACTTCGTAACTAGGGTTATAAATAAGGTAGCTACAATTATAACCGCAATTAGGGTACTTATAAACTTACTTACTAAGTCCCATGATCCTCCAAGTACACGAATGTCTAAAAAACTGTAAAACCCCTTTGGAACAGCTGAAAAAGCCCTCATGAACCTCCAAGGACCCGCACCCGTTGATCCCCATTGCAGAAGCAAATCTGTGAAAACTGTCTAAAGCCGCTCAGGGCGACTGCAGACAGGAAGACAAGGGAAAAAACTCCCAAACAACGGAGCAATGGCTCTGGTAAACCCTGCACCCTAAACTTCACCCTGAACCCTAAACCCTAAACCCCTACACCCTGAACCCGAAACTTAATCCTAAACCCTAAACCCCTACACCCCAACCCGGAACCCTAAACCCTAAACCCGAAACCCTAAACCCTAAACACCAAACCCCCCCAAAAAAAACCATGTCTCCTTACTAAGGGCCCCCTTTTTTTGTCACGGCCCCGGGGCGCCTCCTCCTTGGAGCTGGCAAGGTGGCCAAAAATGCCTTCAGGAGAAGTATAAAGGGGTCTCCAGGGTTTAGGGGTTTAGGGGTTTGGGGGTTTGCGGGTTTAGGGTTTAGGGGTTTAGGGGTTTAGGGGTTTGGGGGTTTGCGGGTTTAGGGTTTAGGGGTTTTAGGGTTTAGGTGTTTAGGGGTTTGGGGTTTAGGGGTTTAGGGGTTTTAGGGTTTACGGGTTTGGGGGTTCAGGGGTTTAGGGTTTAGGGCTTTAGGGTCTCTAGAGTTTAGGGTTCAGGGTTTAAGATTTAGGAGTTTAGGGGTTTAGGGTTTAGGCGTTTAGGGGTTTAGGGTTTAGGGGTTTAGGGGTTTAGGGTCTCTAGGGTTTAGGGTTTGGAGGTTTAGGGTTTAGGGTTTAGGGGTTAGGGTTCAGGGGGTTAAGGGTTTAGGGGTTTAGGGTCTTTGACGGGTTCCTGACAGGATTCCTTTCTGTGTTCTATGAGGGATATAATACTCAGTAGCTTATTCGCTGATTATGATCGCATGAAGCAGAAAAGTAGGAACAACGGCAATTGCAATTTTCCGCCAGGATATGAAGACTTCCATGTCACATCACTCAAACCGCTGGCAAAGGTCAAGATGTTGGGCTTCGAGCTTTTGCATGCCCTGAAAAGGTTGAAACCTGAAACTCTTGAACCTTATTAGCCCTAAAGCCCTCAGCCACTTCCGGTTGCCAGCTATGTTCAATACGACCGCCCGAGGAACTCTGCAACACAAACTCCACCCCCCATTCCCCATTCTGAACTTGCGGTTATCATATAGGTCATCCTGCACTGCGTTGCTGCGTAGGACACCTGATTAATCAACAGCTTCTAAGACTATAGGGACCCTCGCGTGGATACTACTCTGAGCCAGAAGTCGCACTTTCTCAGGAAGCGGGCTCTGCGGCAGGCTCCTCTGTGCCTTCCCCGTCCGCCTCTGCCATTTGCACTGCCCTCGCCACGACCTGCCGATCCTCCGGGTAGGCGAAGAAGACCGGCACGGTCAACACGGTCAGAAGGACACCGAGCAGGCAGTGTGATGCAATGACGTTCCTGTCAGGCTCTTCCTCCCACCAGCCCATACCATCGTGAACCACAAGGTAGAGGATGTCCACCACGGCCAAATAAACCCCATAGAGATAGATATAAGCCTCTTCAGGAGCAGGGAAGGAGCTTTTTGAGGCATGCGGCTCTAAGATGTTGGCTTCGGATTACTTGGGAGGATCATGGGACTTGTCAACTGCAAAGCACCATGAGGTTTAGGGTTTAGGGTTTAGGGTTTAGGGTTTAGGGTTTAGGGTTTAGGGTTTAGGGAGTACATCAAACTTGGCTTATACTTACGAGCCCTCCTAGTGGTAGTTGCCTTACTCCTTCATACTAAGCTCCTAAACCTAAACCCGGGATCGTTCCAGCAGGCTGTCTCAACCCTAAACCCTAAACCCCAGACCCTAAACTCTACCCCTAAACCCAAAACCCTAAACCCTGAACCCTAAACCCTCAACCCTAAACCTTAAACCCCTTGAGGACCCTAAAGTCTCCGAGCCTCAGGCCGCACGATGTCGCTCAGCATTTTGCCTGTCACCACAGGGAACCAGGTCCAAGTCCCGAAGGCACCCATCGCCAGCGCACCCGCCCTGGTCCGGAAACAAGGGGTGGAGGTTCCCTTTCAAGGCGTCTGTATGGGTCTAGGGTTTAGGGTTTAGGGGTTCAGGGGTTTAGGGTTTAGGGTTTGGGGTTTAGGGTTTGGGTTTAGGGTTTAGGGCTCAGGGGCTCCTGCAAGGTTCACCAATACGGGCACCACTAGTGAGAATAACCTCAAACTGCAGCTACGCCAAACAGCCAGGCTGCAGCAGGAGCGGTGTGAAACCCTTAGCCCGACCTCATCAACAGGAAGCCGAGGAAGCTCTTCCGCAAGATGTCGAGGACGAAAAGAACAACGCTAATGACGATGATGGGAAGGATTGCAGTGGCCTTCGTTGTCGCGCTGGGTCGGCACACTGTGTGTTTTTTCGGAAGTGTCTTTGTGTCAGTGTCTTTGGGGTCACCACCCTTGTCGATCCCCCTGTACTAGAAACAGTCTGTCAATCCCGACGACAGCTAAAGCGGAGCCCTGAGCCCTGGCGACGCAGACTACACTGTAATCACAATGCTACGTCTAATCCTTGCCACCTCCCTATGCAATCCGCGCAAGCAAGCGGTCATACGGCTGATGGACAAAATCCTGCATGACCTTATATACCTAAACTATGGGATTTTTATGGTACTATACTATATTGGGGTCATGCAGAATTTTGTCCATCAACCCCTAAACCCTAAACCCTAAACCCTAAACCCTAGTAGTATTCTACTATAGCCCCACAATGCATCACCAGCCCTGCGATGCTTGTCAACTCTCTATGTACCCCTTGAAGACCCTAAACCCTAAACCCTCACCTCGGCACTCCATGATCCTCGTTCTAGTTTTGCGAGGGCAGGAAAGAAAGGTACTACTAAGCAACCTATTTCAGAAATGAATACCCCTTAAATAAGGAATACGCCTTAAAATTATAGGGGCCTTAACATGATGAGTTAAGGTATTATTCCTCATTCAAGGGGTATTGGGCTCTCTGGGTACTCTAACCCAGAACCCTAAACCCTAAACCCTAAACCCTAAACCTGGGTAATGTACCCGGCATCAGGCGGTCTAGTTTGATATCACCAAGGCAAGACCTCGCTGGAAAAGGATGTAGTGCGCCTGGCTACCAACTTAAACAGGGTTTAGGG